ATAATTACGGATTATAATGACTTATACTATCTTTTTAAACGTTGCGTTGCATCGCGCCGCATAAACATAAAACCATGCCTGCATTTGTGATCGGAGAAATGACAAACAACAAGCGCTACTCTACACTGCTCAAAACTCACGTTTGAATCGTCAGTGGCAAATTCTTTAAATATGAAAACGTACTTACAGACTGTGAGTCAGAACAGCCGGCATTGTAGTCTACTCTCTCAGGATCAGGAAACAGTCCTCCATAAAATGCGTTGCACACATCTGAATATTTGGGTTGAACTGTTCTGGAACAGTGTTGTAAATACAACTTAACCACTGATTTCTAGTCGTGTCCTCTTTTGGAAGGCCAAACAAAGTATTTTCGCTTTCGCAACGAAACACACAACGTCTTCACAACATGGTGGCGGCGGTGGCAGCAACAATAAAGTTACGCCTTCTTTCTTTGCGTGAACATTTGTGCGGCATTATGCAAATCTTCCCACATCGTGACGTAGACATGTGGGGGCGTGTTAGAACGAGCCGTTTTAGGAGGGCGTGGACCAGTCTTAACTTTTATAAAGAATATCTCTTTGGGTTTGAGACTTTAGTCTTTGCAACTTTAGGGATCTTATCTATTCACGAACAGCTTGTAACACTCCAAAGAGTAAGGAAAACTTGAAATCGCATCATATGACCCCTTTAAATGTATATATTATATAAAATATTTATTTTTTTTCAGCCTTTTTGCCATTTGACAGAAGCCAGTTGAGAAAGGACAGGGAATCATGTGGAAAAAGGCCAGGCAAACAGGAAAATGGCAAAATTCGAACTGAAACTTGTGTTGCCCACGGCATGTGTGATATTAGCAAGTATCAGCAGAACTATCAATGAACTAATGGAAGTACACAGAGAATAAGTGCTTGAGTATCTGACCTGGAGGCCACAATTTGTGTAAATTAAGACAAATGCATGAACACATCAGATATACAAAACATTAATTGAATGCAAAATTTGATTCAGGAAATGTTTTAGTGAAGGAAAAACATCAAGATTACCTTCAAGATCATCAGCATCCCCCACACCAAGCTCTTCCATCAGGTCTGTAAGAACAGAGATGTTTAAATGAGAAGCCAAATATGTTACAACATAATTTAATTGTTGTGTTTAAAAAAAAAAAAGGAGATGACCTGTTTTCTTATTAGCTTCTTTTGAATCCATCAGCTTACTAAGAACAGAGACAGGCTCCCTTTTGATCACTTTGGGCTGTGAGGAAAAGTTACATTTATTAATATATTCAGAAGTTTCAAAAAATATTATTTATTTATATTTATGAATTCACATTAACATTCATGCATTTGGCAGACGCCTTTATCCAAAGCGACTTACACTGCAAATGTTTTTTTAATCAGATCATGCATTTCCTGGAAATTGAACCCATGACCTTGATGTTACTAGCACTTTCTCTACTATTTGTGCTACACTGATATTTTATCAGTATAATTCACAATTTTTCTTCAATTAAATCAGGTGTTACTGCTAAACATACAGACTTTATTAAAACTTTATTTTGTAGATAATTTCAGTATGTTTTTGTTGTTGTTGTTTTTTTTTTGTAAACATTACATATTATTGACTTTATAAAACAATCTAATCATTAATGTATTTTACCAAAAAACTGCATAGCAAAAATTGGTTCTTCATTTGGAAAAAGCAAATCAAGTTCAAAAACTTTCAAAATGTTGCTTACTGGTATTTCGGTTTCCTTCTCTTCTTCATCATCATCTTCGTAATTTCTTAAAACTGAAAGGCAAGAAGGGACAATGTTCAAAACTCCCCTCAAAAAACATGAAAATCAACGGACAAAGGCAAGCTTCCATGTTACGAGTGTGCAGTCATGCACATGCATCGATGGAGATCTCCCATGATGCCTGTGAACTGGGGTTTGAGAGTGACCAAATACTCAAACACAATAAAGGAAAGTTCATTTCAATGAATTCATCTTGTAAACATGAGCAACAATAATGGACCTTTCCCACTAAAGCATGTATTAGTTGAGCATCATGCCGTGTCACATCACATGCCTTGAATGCACAGATGACAATAGATGCATAAGACAAGAGATCAGGATCCGAGGACAAGATGTTAATGTGACGGCTATAACAGTGATGATTAATCCAGCAGGACAACAGCAAATCATGAATGCCTACCCATCGGCCTGCAGCCTCCTGGCTGGCCTATACTTCTCAATAAATTAATGTTCCTCCCTCCTCTTACGAAGGAGGGAACGTATAAGAAGTCTACAAAGAAATTCAATGAGATTATGAAATGCAAATCTACAAATAACCTAAACTTTGCATAATTTAGCATAGCAAGTCTTGTAAAAACATCTGTTAAGCAGAAGCAATGGAAAATGTCAATCTTTTGCATATTTTCAAGCATGAAATGGTTGCAGAAGGCTACACAGACAAAGCTATTATGGTATTCCATTCTAAAATGCAATCATATTTTTATGTAGTAAAAAAAAATCACTAGACATGCCTTACATACCTTTAGTGTTCTCCTCACAAATACTGTACATAGATCTATGTGATTTGGCGGTAGTGTGTTGAGCACTGGCCTGTTTCTTCTGTGGGCTCTCAGAACCAGACTGCGAGGAGAAAATGAGAGAACAACAGGATGAAATGTGGTCACAGATGGCCTTAGAACAGAAGATCACAACCTGTTTTTTTTTTTTCAAATTTTCAATGAATACAAATTCATCTCTACATTTTTACATAATTAAACAATTGTATGTGTATCGTTATAAATTAATTTAATGAAATATAATTGTTAAATTACATAATTATTTATTAAATATATATTTATACATTTTACTTATTTAATAAATACAAATTCATTTCTACCTTTTTAAATAATAAAATCATTTTTTGTTTTACTTTTATTTATTTCATAATTTAATTAAATATATAGTAATTGTTAAATAAAATCATTATTTTTAAATATAACTACTATTTATTTATCTGTAAATATAAATTCATTTTTACATTTTTAAATAATTAAAACTACTTTAAGTGTATAGTTTTATATGTTTATTTATTTCATGTAAAATAATATAATTATTATTAAATATAACTACAATATATTTAACTTTGAATAATTTCATATCCTTTTTCAGGGTTTCTACAGACATGAACAAGTTAAATTTAAGACGTTTTAAGACCTTTTCAATACCACCTTGTTTGACATTTAAAGGGTTAGTACACCCAAAAATGAAAATTAGCCCATGAATTACTCACCCTCAAGGCATCCTAGGTGTATATGACTTTCTTCTTTCAGATGAATCCAGTCGGAGTTATATTAAAAATCGCCTTTGATCTTCCAAGCTGTTTAATGGCAGTCAGCAGTGCATCAGTCCAAAAGAAGTTAAATAAAGCGCATCCATCCATAATAAAAAGTGCCTCACACGGCTCCAGGGGGTGAACAAAGGCCTCCTGTAGCGAATCGATGCGTTTTTGTAAGAAAAATAACCATATTCAAAATGTAATAATCACTTTAATCTAGCTGGCGCTCACTGTTGTACACGGAAGCAGTTCTGGGCGGATGACGTATGACGTCGGCGTTGCGCATGCGCTGCTCAGAAGTAACAAATGCGGAAGTGCAGGGGAGAGATCAAAACAAAACAACAGTCACTAAATAGAAGTACAAAACGAGGATTTGTAAAGAAGAATGTCAGAGGATTTCGATATAAGCCAAGAGGAGACTGGTTTTCCTTTGCTAAAGTAAGGAAACTTTGCTTCCTTTGCTCCTATAAACAAACGTTGGTTTTCACAAGTCTCGCATGCGCAACGCCGACATCTTACATCATCCTCCCAGAGCTGCTTCCATGTACAACTGTTGGTGCAAGCTACATTAAAGTGATTATTACATTTTGAATATGGATATTTTTCTTACAAAAACGCA